GAGGAGATCATTTTAATAAATCCCTGCTTTGTCCTTTAGCTCTGCCCAGCCTCTGCTCCAGGGCATCACCCCCGAACACAACCCTGTGAAGATCTGGTGAATCCATGGATGGGTTCTCACCAGAGAAGTTCTCAGGAGCTGGAGGGAACGGATGGGTTCCCACCAGAGAAGTTCTCAGGAGCTGGAGGGAACGGATGGGTTCCCACCAGAGAAGTTCTCAGGAGCTGGAGGGAACTGAGCTCAGCACGCCAGGGACTAAACAAGCTGAACAGCTGAATCTGATTTCTGCCCCAGGGTGGTTTCTAACTCCATGTCTCACCAACAGAGCTGGGAGGTCCTGGCACAGAACCTTCCCTCCCCACCTCCCTGGGAGCCCAGGCTCTCGGGAGGGTTCCTGCAGCTCCCATGGCCACAGCCACCGTCTGCTTCACGTCTCCACTTTGTTCCTGGGGATTTCTTCTGCACTCTCCTGCTCTGTGCCTGCTCTCCACTGGGACAGAGACCCCAGGGTGAGGAACAGCTGCAGCTGGGCCAGGGGAATTTGGGATGGATCCCAGGAAAGGATCTGCCCCGGGGAACGGGCACGTTCCCAACCCTGCCAGAGCTCCAGGAGCCTTGGGACAGCCAGGGATGCACGGGGTGGTGTCACCCTGATTCTTAAGATTTTCTAAAGCCTTCTGAGGTTACATTCTGTTAGAAAACTTCCCCACACATTTTCTATAAACAAAGTATTGTTTTGCATCCCTTCGTGGGGGTAGAAAAAGTTAATATACTAGTGGTTTGTAAAATGTCTTTGGAGAGGTGGCCCATTCACTCTCCAATCCACTGTCACCTTTGGAAAAGTATAAAAGTTGGAGTCAGAAAAATAAACCTTATTCTTTTTTTACCTTGCCATCGTCGTGGCTCGTGTTATACTTTTTTGTGTCCTATAGCAACAGGGTGGCACTGCTGGGATAACCTGGGCAGCACCAGGAGCTGCATTCCATGCTCCTTGGGGCTTTCCTCCCCTCCAGGACATTCCACTCCTTTGTAAGAATATCCTGAAATTCCCCAGGGCCAATCCCACCCATGGGGAATGTCACAGGAACCAGGAAGGTCGGGAGGGCTGAGACAGCTCCACTGAAGGGCTGGGAGCCAAATCCAGCAGGGTCTGAGGGATGGAGACCCTGGGAGGAATTTCCTTTCCCTTTCCATGTTATTGGAGTGTGCAAGGACATTAAAAACCCATAAATAATGCAGGTCCCACAGCTGGGGACTCCCAGGAGAGGCCCAGCTGATGGACACTGGGCAGGGCTGATCTGAGCATGGATTATTATGGATTATTACTATTATTATTATTATAGATTATGGATTATTTATCCCAGTTCCCAGGAGAGGCCCAGCTGATGGGGACCGGGCAGGGCTGATCTGAGGATGGGTTATTATGGATTATTATGGATTATTATTATTATTATTATTATTATTATTATTATTATTATTATTATTATTATGGATTATTTCTCCAAATTCCCAGGAGAGGCCCAGCTGATGGGCACTGGGCAGGGCTGATCTGAGGATGGATTATTACGGATTATTATTTTGACTAGATTTATTTGATTATTATTGTTATTATGGATTATTTATCCCAATGCCAGCAGACTGGCAGCTCCCTCAGCAATGGAAGGAGCACCCTTCACTCCCCTCTGCTGCTTCAGCTTTTCCCTGGCACTGGAGCAGCCGAAGCCCTTTTCCCAGGGAAGCAGGGAGGGCAGGGAATGCAGCCCTTACGTGCGTGGAGCCGCTCAGATCTCGGGAAGGGCTTCTTGGCCAGCCCTGGCAGGGAGTTCTCCAGCTTCAGCGAGGGCGAGGAGCTGCAGGTGGAGTTTGGGGGGCTGCTGGAATGTCCATCGGCCTGCTTCCCTTCCCAGCCTGCCAGAAAGGGACACGAGGAGCAGGGCTGAGCACACAGGGGTCCTGCACCA